ACAAACGGTGATGCGTTTACAGCCGCTCGTGGCCGCACGCGCGACCACGATCGCCACCTTTTCGGTTTTCGCCCGGAGTCTCCGGGTAAAACACAAAATCTCCGGGCCATATGATGTGAGAAGAAGAGAGATTATATTTTCCCTATTTTTTATAATCGGACAGAGAGAGAGAGAGAGAGGGAGAGGGAGAGGGAGGGGGGGAGAGAGATGGCAAGAGAGGGACGGCGCGCACAAAAGCGACACATTTCGAGGCCGAAATACAGGGGCACTAAATAACGACGGTTTATTTGATTTGTCGCACAAATTGAAAACGCGGAGGAGGCGACCGACGCGCCGACGGCGTCGGTGAAAAGCCGCCGCGTGGTTACCGAGAAAAATCCCTTTCCACGAGGGAAGAAGAAGCACTCGAGGCACTCTCCGGAACGGCCGCGTTGTACGCGGCAGAAGGGCGCACGAATAAATTCGCGAAGCTCTCTCGCGCGAACTACGAGTAGCCGAGGAGGCTGCGGAGGGCTAAATTCCGCGGCAGCCTCAGACGACTTTAAATATATAACGGCCATCACTTGTGCCGCGCGGCTAAAGAACGCGCCGCGGTGAAATCGAAATGACGCGGGTACGATGCATTTCCGCGGGCGTAGGTCAAGTGCTTTGGAAAGCGCCCGTCGACACGTGCAAGCTCGGCAGGACAAAGCGAAAGGATGTACCGTTCCTGCCTTTGCCCTTACCTCTACGTTTCCCAGAGAGCACCGGTCTCGGGAGAAAAGACACTTTGTATCCTCCTCTGTTCGAGGCAAGCTTACGTTTCATCAATCGAGCAAACTCGTTCGAAATTAGCCGAGCAGCGTCGCCATTTTGATTGTCATCGAAACTCGGTAAGTCAGAATTCGAGACAGATTTGCAGCAGTCTTGCAAATCAGTCCGTCTACAATTCAGAATACTAAAAAAAAAGAGTAATTTCAGAACAAGCGGAATTGTCTAAATTTTAAAAGGATTTTATTCTTATGTATGGCCTCAAGAGGATTCCTCTAAGATTAAGAGGAAAATATTATGATTCTTAAAGTTATAAGGCCCAGTTGCACCAACATTATTTTGGTTTTAAGTGAAACTTAAGCATAAGTCTATCTTTATCTTTCTTACTAAATAAATAAAGACAGAGATATATTTAAGCCTCACTTAAAACCAAAATAATGTTGGTGCAACCTTTGGGCCTAAGTTATATTATTCTTAAAATTAGGGATTATATGTTATATGTATAATGCAAATTTTATTGATTTTAATATAAATTTCCTCTTATACATAGATTGTTTAATCTTCTTTTAAGAGAATTATTATTTATTCTTACTGGTTAATTTAAAAAAATTACTATAATATAATAGCGAAAAATAATTTATATATAGATGTACTTTCGACTCCAGTTTTCCACAATAAGTAGGCACGAATGAAATAAGATCATCATAATAAACAAATTTGCAACCAGTTTTGTTATAAACTTTATAGCTACAAAGATGTTCATCATAACCAATTGTACGAAACATAGTTAAAAGAAAGAATATATTGTTCAACTTCTTGCAACAGATTGTAAATTGCATTCGACCAAATATGGATAAATTATCTTCGTTATATGCTATAACAACACACATACTTTTCTAAAACGCGTTCCAAATATTCTGAGCTATGAGCATATGGTTATTTTTTTCGTTCATGTCTGGAGGTAGAGCACGACTGAACAAAAGAAACTGACATTCAAATCAACATATTCCTCTTCATATAAGAGGAAAGTTAATTGATATAAGAGGAAATCTTCTTGAAATAAGAGGGAAACAGTTGGAATAATATCTAATAAATTTTAGATGAATGGTCAGCTTAGAATAGCTTAGAATGAGACTATGGGAAAAGTGTCGCCTTACAAGCAGAATACTTTTTTCTTTGAGTGAACGGAATTCGAGGTTACGTTCTTTTCGTAAGGAAGAGGTGAACTCTCTCGGAAACTCGAAATTACTCTGACACGCGCGTAAACGCGCGCGCACGCATCTGCGAGCGCGACTGCGGGCGCTTCCTTACAAGCGCAATCCCGCGACCCGCGGATGCCATTGTCTCGCGCGTGCGGGCTTTTGTGGCGATAGCATTACCGCCGCGGTGCAAAATTGCCGTCGGCGGTGCATATAGACGTTGCATTATCGTCGTCGTGCACAGTCGTAAATATCCGTTAATGTTTGAAATTGCGTGTCGCCGGGGCAATATCGATCGCGCGCGAGGAGGAAAGCGTGCCCGCGCGGCGAAGTCTCGGATCGCCGGAGAGTAGCTCTCTCGCGGTGTGTGCTCGAGAGATAATACGCTCCTCGAGATAATGGCCGGAACGGCCATTCACACCGCCAGGGCTTGCAGGAGGACCGCGGAAGGAAATTGGGAAGCCGTCGAGGGGCGACGGCACCGAGAAAGAGAGAGAAAGAGAAGTAGTCGAAGTCGTCTCGCGAGAGCCTCGCAGCTCCGACCGCGTCTCGCTGATTTTCCGAGGGACAGGTCTCGATCTCACCGAGTGGAAACTCGCGATACACGTGTGCCGAAGCCGGGCAGAGACGAGCGAGTTGAAGGCAAAATTCAAATCATTAAACATTCACGCGAGCGCCTCCGGCGAAAAATCGCGTGCGCACGCGCGCGAATTCTCGTGGCGGTAAACGAGCCGTGGTGAAACGTTGTGCGAGAGAACCTGGGTCTCTTGCAGCGCTCGCGCGTAATTTGCAGGCTCAACATTTTCAGCTCGACTGATGCTATCGGAATATGCAGAGCGAGGCTCTTGAAACGTACTCGCGCCGTACGTGCGCCGTACGCGATCGATCGCACGAGGTGGTATTCATAGTTTCGCTACGCGACCGCGTAGTCGAAATGTCACCGCTCGCGAACGTTTACCGCCGCGCCGACGAGAAGTCCAGCCGGCCGCTCGCCGCGTGTAATTGGCGAGTTCGTCACCTCCTCGGCGGCGATTTTATGTGTTTGCATTGCTACGAGCTGGAAGCCGTTCTCGCGCGTTCTCGCGCGTGTGCGGCCGCCCGCTCGAGCAGTGTCCATCCGTGCGCGAACTCTCTCTCTCTCTCTCTCTCTCTCTCTCTCTCTCTCTCTCTCTCTCTCTCTCTCTCTCTCTCTCTCTCTCTCTCTCTCTCTCTCTCTCTCTCTCTCTCTCCTTATTATTTATATAAATAATATTCAACGACAAACGCGCGCGCGCGCGGTATTTTACGACATCATCGGACAACCCTCATCGTCGTCGCGCGTCGACGTCGTACTCGAAGCGGACTTCTCTCCGAGCGACACTCGACGACACGCGGTAGCACATGTCGCGCGCAGACGGAATTCAGGCGCGCTCTCCTCCCTTTCCCTCCCTCCCTCCCTCCCTCCCTCCCTCTCTCTCTCTTTCTGTCACGATTGTTGAAAACAGTCTAAAAATACGCGGCGGCATTCACGGGAGAATTACGGGACCGAATTCACGCAACTCACGACTCGGCCGCGGCAAAAAGCTCGTGTTCGCCACAATGTCGCGCGTACGTTGCACGCGCGGGAATCGCAGCGAGCGGCACATCTCGTCATTGCCGGCTGCTGCGACGACGACACGTCGCGGCGTTGTGTTTTCCTCTCGCGACTTGGTCCGTCGCGAGACGACTCTTCGTCAGGCGGCGGAACGTAAACTTTTTACTCGAAATCAGGGAGGTCGGCGAACCAAGTCGGCTGCTGCCCGGTGCCACGCTTTTCCGAATATCGCGGATCTTTCCGCGGGAACAACGCGCGAGCCTTCGACGACGCATTCCTCGCAAACCTGCGGCTTAATCGCCGCGCCGAGCGCAGCGCGAAAGTTCGATCGTTGTCTCCGCGAATTATCGCGATTAGTTCCGCGAAACGCGAGTTTCGCCCGACTCGGAAACAGCGCGCCGTACAGTTGCGCGATATTAAAGGTAAACATCCCAATGACCACTTTGAAAAAATATTTACTATTTATTTTAACAATAATAAATGAGAGTAATAATTATTGTGAAAAGAACTCCAATATTTGACGATCAGTTGGAAAAAGATACACCCAATTTCATACTTTTGTGTTAAAATAAAAATTGATTAAATAAATATGCATTTATGGTTTGGCAAAATAATGCTCAGTCGTTGATAAATTCACTAAGAGATAGCATCTACATTTGTATTATTTCCCGTTAACACGTACTAATTTTCTAATTGCGATCAGACACTGGGACAAATTATATCCAAACATTGAACCATAACCTATTTCAACTCTGTCCGGTCACTGGTACATTAATGCGCTTCATTACTTGTATAAATATTTCGTTAATAATAGATGTATACTTTGGTTTAAATCATTTTTCTCTACTACGAGGGAATCTTAATTTCTCGAATAAATGCAAATATTTATATCAAAACTATTCTTAATATTATATATTGTATTTATTATTTATTATTATTTATTGCATATTATGTATTGTATTTATTATTATTATTGTATTATTTTTGTGACGAGCTACGCTTAAACGTCCGATTACTGGGACATTTAGTCTGCGCTGTCACGCTTGGATCCTTGGATCCTTCTTTTGCATCTCTCCCGAGCGCAAACTAGGATCGATGTTGGGATAATATTGTGATGTATTATTACGTGGCTGTTTTTTTTTTCTTTTACACTCTTGCGATCGCGACAGTGAGAATTAAGAGGTTATCCCTCATTTTTCGCGGACCAAATATTTTATCAACGCGCCGGCGAGACGCATATCGCGACGAGGAAGCGCACAACGGCGGTTTAAAGCCGGTGCTGTAAATCCGACACGCCTTACGACGTCGTCATGTGAGAGAAGAAAAGAGACAGAGAGAGAAAGAGAGAGAGAGAGAGAGAGAGAGAGAGAGGCGGATATACATGTATATATGTGGAGAGAGAGCGAGAGAAAGATAGAGAGAACGGACGGAGATAAATCCGGAGAAAATCGGAAAGGCTTTTAGAGAAAAATACTCACCGCCATGTCCTCGCTCCTGTAAGCCGTGAGGGTCTGCTCGTCCTGCAGGAGGACGCAGTAACAAGGTTCCCAGCATGCCTCGCTGGCGGCCTCGCCGACGCAGCATTCGGCCTCTGCAAAAGAGAAAGATGGTCCCTCATGAATAACCTCGGCAAATAGACGTGCACCGACGACGACGATGATGACAACGACGACGACGACGACGACGACGACGACAACGACAACGACGAGGATGAGGACATCCATTGTGCGTATCGTCGTCCTACGAGAGTAAAGTCGCCGGTGACTCGCAAGGATAATAGGGCGTCAATTATCCTTGTGGCCGCGAGGGCGGGGGGAGAGTGAAAGGTAAGTGAGAGAGAGAAAGAGAGAGAGAGAGAGAGAGAGAGAGAGAGAGAGAGAGAGAGAGAGAGAGAGAGAGAGAGAGAGAGAGAGAGAGAGAGAGAGCGCGCGCTTACAGAGAAATCGTCAGCGATGATCGACCGCGGCCTGTATGTATTTCTGCGAGCGGAGATATCGATTGCTTTCCCGCGATTGCACGGCTGGATCGCGAGTTGTAATTCGCAGAAGTAATATGTGCCGGAAACGGCGTAATAATACGGCTGTATCTTGCATGTTCGATGCAGATCAGAGGAAAACAACCGCGGGCGATCGATAATAATTCGCGGACGCTTCCAGGGGAGCAAAGAAGACGTTTGAGCAACGAGACTGTTCCGTTCCGTTATTCAGACTTCTCGAAACATTGTCGGCTGTAAAGTCTCTGCGAGGTCTCGTTTCTCGCACCGAGCCGCGGGTGGTCGCGTTGGCGCACCGCGTGCGCCGGGTCTCGCACCCGACTGGGAAATTCCGTCCGGCAAGTTCGCGCGTAATCTACGTAACGGTGCAACGATCAAGCTCAGATCGCGGACCTCATCGTCGAGGGGGAGCGGGAGGGAGGAGAGCGACTGCAGTCAAACACCTCCGGAAGTAACGCACGCACGAGTCGAACTCTCTCGGCGAAGATCATCGAGACGCCCAACGTGCATTAGCCGAGGGACAAAGTTTCCCACCTCCATTTGCGTTGGCCCGAGCCCGAGCCCGAGCGCGCATCGAAAAGCCTTCAATCTTCCATTACATATAATTCAGAGTTGATTGATGCCCCGAGAGAGATTGAAACAACCGCCATTCCGCGGAGTTTATCTTCGCGAGTCTCTATACTTGAGCGATGGGGCTCAGCCGCGCGGCGCAGCGCTCCCTGACCATGATTTATGACGGACGCGCGTAACCGTCCAGGATTTATGCACACAGACGCCTAACAACATTATCCAGAACACATCCCCGCGTGACGGAAGCAAGAACGCATTACGGCCGCGAAGCGACGGCGCGAGCCGATGTCGCGGCCCGTCGCCGACGGGAACAAATTCCCGTCGTTGGAAAATCATCTATAACACGCACGCACGCACGCACGCACGCACGCACGCACGCACACACGGCTACATATTGTTTGAGGAAGTCGCCGAGCGCGCGTGATCGCGTCGTCTCGCAACACGCAACGCGAGCGAGCGAACGACGCGCGCTAGTCGCGTGCGACTTTCGCGGTAAATCCACGAGCGGAAACGGGAGAAAAGGAAGAACAGAGTAGAAGCCACCCTGTCCCTGGGGTAGAAAAACCGCTAGGGATTACGGCTGGTTAACACAACTCGAATAAAAAATTGTTAGGGCCCTCCTGAATGAAGCATAAGGCCCTGATAAGGCTAAAAGTAGGATGCCCTGAAAAGGGATGCCTCATTATTATCATATCAGGCCCCGAAATGGATCTTTCAGGGATATTTTAGATTTTGCGAAATAAGACTTTGATAAGAAAAACTAATGAGAGAATCCTTAGAAGGATTGGTTAGGGGTGGATTAGATTTAATAAGGTTCTGATAGGGAAAACTGAGAAGGGCCTTGGAAGGATTTTTTAGAGATGCCTTGGATTTTGTGAAATAATAACGTTTTAACGTGGGAAACTGATGTGGGCTTGGGAAGAAACTTTTAAGAGGAGGCTTTATACGTAGATATACAAAATCAAGTTCTCTTATAGAAAATTAATAAGATCTGAAGCGTGTAATAAAGTTGTCATAGTTTTGTATTGTTTTAGTATGTACGCTCTATCTGGTTCTTTTAAAGATTTTTTAATTATACCGCAATTAAAAATAAATTTTATTAGTTTTATTAGTTGCCATATTCATTAGTCTCTGCCAAAGATTTTTCTAGCATTGCCTTCCATTCGTTTGGAAATGCAGCAAACTTTAATGAAAATAGTAGCAGGATTTTTACATGTAAAGAATGCTATATTTTATTATAAAGTATGCTATATTTTTAAAATAAAAAATTTGGTTATATACTAACAAAGTTATAAAGAAATAAAGAAATTACAGTCAAAATTTCTTGGAATGAAAAGAAGGAATAATTTTACTCTGGCAGTAATAAAAAATTTCCTTAAAGACCCTATTAATATTGCCTTATAAGCACCCGTTTGCACATTTGTTAATCCGTTTGCACATCTCGTAGGCTCCCTTGTCTTTCTATCCCTACCAAGGCCCGATTATTGTTAGAGAAAAATAATCAGGCCCTTACCAGAGCCCTATTAATTTTTCTGCTCGAGAAGTTGCACCGAGTGCAACCAAAGTCGCGCATATTGCTCGTTCACAATGCAGCGCAACACTGCGCTGTGAGGAAGAAGAATGAAGAAAAATGGAGAAGACCTGAAGAGAGCGAGCAAGCCTCGCTGGACACTCGCAGCAACATTCACCGCGTCCAAACTCACTTGCTTTCTCCAATCGCCTCCTGCGTCTTGCTCGGATATGCCAGGCGACATGTCAGCTGTCAAAATGACAGATTAGACGAATAATCAATAGTCACGATGTGTACGATTACCAGGCGCGATACGAACGGCTGGACAGACTGGCAGCGAGAGTCTCGGCCTGGCAAGTGTCAGGACTTGATCGCGGCTCAGCGTGGGAAGCAAGTTTGCGAGGCAAGCCGAGTGCTCGGCTCGCGACCTGAGCGCCTTGGAACGTTTTCCGGTCGACATTATATCCCCCGGACTTTGCGCAGCATTGTCATTCGTCCAGGGAATGACAACGAGTCGCTCTCCGTACTAATTTGCCACGGTGCGGTCGAGCGAAATTCCCGAAGGGCGCCCGGGGTATTTTGCGATCGGATTAACAGCGCCGGAGCGTTCCTCCGCTCCTTTGATCTGTAACCGGTTCGAGGAACGGCTTCTGGAAGCTTTCATTTTCACACGGCGCCGGGAAAGGTTCGCTGCGCGGAAACGCGGCTGTAATCGGGCCGAGCACGCATCGATTCGGTATCGGCGCGGCGCCGATATGTTCTTGCTTTAGGATGTCGAAGATCAAACGGGGGCGAGACGACAGGACGAGCGGGAGGAGGACGAAGGCGGACCGGGCGACGAGTTCCACGTGGAATTACGCCGAGTCGTGCGCCGGAACGGCCGATAAATACGTCACGATCGGAATAATTCAGCACGGTACCGCGCGGAACGCAACGGAACGGCCGGGGAATCGACGGGGTCTGCTCGTTGTTATTATTTATCGCGATGGGCATCCGTGTGACCCCGCGCGCGCTCGTTCTCGCGATCCTCGGTACTCGCAACTTGGAAACACTCTCGAAGACGTATAGCGTCGAGTCATTCGCCGCCGCGGCGTTACGGAAAAACCGCGTGAGCGTGATCGATATAAAATTATGAGGCACTTGATGGCGCCCTCCGCAACCCCGCGGCGTCTTCTTGCGCTTCGAATGCGATGGGAAATGTAATTTGCCGCAGTCGATTACATCATCCATTATCGAGCCGCTCGCAGCGCGGAGTCTGATCCTTAAGGAGCAAGAAAGGTATTCGCGATGTGAACGGGAAGTGCGTAATCACGATTCCAAATTTACGAGGGCATCCACAAATATGCAAGAGAACTTGAGAAGCGAAATGCACGTGAAAAATTTCTCTAAAATCGGTACATTTGTCATAACTTGTAATTATCGTCAATAGTTTGCCACTTATCTCTATTATGTTCTTTTCTCCTGCCTTTTTAATCGACATCATACTCCTTGTATTTCATACAGGTATTAATTATTTATTTATTCACGAGATAAGTCCTCTTCATTTTTCTTCTACAAATTTTATAAAAAGAAAAAAATAAAATAAGAAAATTGTCTACATAAATATACAAAAAGGAATAGATATCGCTCTTCATTCGAAGGTAGGTCATAAAAATTTTATGCTTGACAATAATTGAATATTGCATAACAAGACGTTATAATTTATCATCAGTTATACGATATATCAATAATGTTGCATTATTAATTTATCACCCAAAGAAAGTAATTTCAGAACAAGCGGAATCATCTAAATTTTAGAGGATTTGATTTTTATGTATCAAGAGGCCTCAGGAGGATTCCTCTGAGATTGAAAGGAAAATAATATTATAAACACATTATTCTTAAAGTCAGAAGGATTATATATTGCACGTATAATGCAAATCTGATTGATTTTAATATAAATTTCCTCTTTCATGTGAGAGGAAAATTAATTGATGTAAGAGGGAATCCTCTTGAAATCAGAGAAAAACAGAATAACACGAGGGCAGTCTGAAAAGTTCTCGGCCTAACAATGAAAGAAAATTTTTTTTTGCCGTGTGTGTTTTATTTTTCAATATAATCTCCTGAAACTTCAACATTTATTCCAACGTTTTTCCAATAATTCAATACCATCATTAACCTTCCAAGTCTGTCAGATGACTATAGTCATCGCTCTTTAAGGCATCGCGAAGTTATTCGCGAAGATTTTCATAAAGCAATATATATTTTTCTTTATCTTTTGATTCCGATATTCAAGTCTTTATGTATAATTTTGTTTTGTATAGAGAATATGCTCGACTTGCTGGGAATTGGAGTTAAGGAAAAATTCGTCCGCATAGTGGTGGATCCAAGTTTCATCAACAGTTATGAAACGACGCTTGAAATCCATTTTATTTTGCTTAAAACGATCCAAACACGCTTGAGAAATACGCATTCGAATGCGTTTTTGGTCAATTGTTGGCAAATGCGGCACCCATCTTGCACAAAGCTTTTTCAACTG